GCCCATACTAATCTGGTCAGAGGGATTTAAAGGACAGTTTTTGCTCCTTGCCCTCCAAGGTCAGACAAGTCCTATGGGACTATGGAACATCTCTCAAAATGTCTTGTAACTGTGGTGAATCACCTGTCCTTTGTTCAGGGAGGACATGGAGACCCCACGAGATGGATTTGAACCGGTGTCCAGTCTACAAAGAGGAGGGTCAACTCAGAGGAAACATCTCATTTATGCCAGACATGGTCGAGTAGGACCTTTGACTTATTTTCACGTAATTAGAACTGGTAAAAGAAAGGAGCCAGGAGCTCCTCCCAAGCCCATGTAACCCCAGAGGAACAGATCCTCAAACGACCGTAAGTGTAAAAATAAATTGATTTATTTGGGCCAACTGTATGGTCTTAAACACCAAAAAGGAAAGTATAACCAAAGAGTAAAGTCATCAGTATATGTCTGCAAGAGTTCAAGGAATTACACTTCCCAGACGTTAGGCTTAATTCTATATAAAAAGTTATTTAGACAATTATTTCTCATTGATGATTTGTTCCTAACCAGAAAGTGCTGCTCAGATGTAAGATTTCAAATCTTGGTCTCCAATATTGTAATGCCCACCTGTAGCTAAGGAAGACAACCAGCTATAGTTCTAAAATGGATAAATTTGTTTTCTCCCCCTACAGAGGCCTTTAAGAGGGAACTGACACTGATTTTTACCACTCCAACAGCTATCAAAATACCTGAAAGCAAGTCCTGACTCCATCACTCTAGAGTCCACCCTTGGAAGACAAAATTAAAATGAAGAGGAACCCAATAGAGGGATGCTTTTGGAAGACTTTGTCAAGAAATTCCAATGGATTTGAAAATTGCCCTGTTCTGACTTTTTTCTAGTTCCCTGTTTAGAACTTGTAATGCTAATTACTCTTGCCTTTACTTCTCCTTCATGTATCCTATTCATGATTCAAGGACTTTCTTTTCCCCCTAGAGATAAGATTTATGAAATTTTGGAGTCTTTTAGACAGACCCACTGAAGGGGTACTCCAATTGCCTCACACTGCGTCCCTGTTAGGAAGAAGCCAGAGTGGTCTGCATCCTGATTCCCTATTGGCAATTTGGGTAATCTCTTCAGAGGATAGTGTGATAAGAATAGGAGGTAGGATTTGGCTAGGTAGTTAGAGTAAAAAGACCCCAGAGAAAAGTAGCCAGTTTCTTGGCTAAAAGTCGCAATGTTCTTGGGCCTTTTAGCAGCATACTCTGTTCCAAAAGCCAAAAATGTCATAAATATTTGGAAGCTTTTATCTAATCCTTAAAAGAATTTAGTGTTATGTTTTCAGAGGGGGGATGTTATAGCAGAAAGCCTCATAAAATATAAATAAATCAAAGGAGGGAAAAATAAATTCTTAGTTTATTTAGTTAAAAACATTGGTGGAAGATAGAAAGACAGAACTTCTCAAAATCAGTTTTAAAAATCCCTGTACTGAGTTCTTAAGAGCAGAGACTAAGCAATTCATTGTTTCTAATACAATGGCCAGTGTATAGGAAAGACCTACAATACCTACTTAAAGACAAAACCAGAAGAGCTTCATATTGTCATGTGGGTACTCAAAATGGAACCTGGGTCCTCTGCAAGAGCAGTCAGTGCTCTTAACTGCTGAGCCATCTCTCCACCCGTCTCAGTCTCTTAACTTATCACCATCATGTTTATAATCTTTATGATGACTGCTGCTTAAGAAGACAGTATGAGGCTAGGGGTGTATCTGTGTTGGTGGAGTACTTGCCTAGCATATATGAAAACCCCATTCAATCCCTAGAACCCCATAAAACAGGTATGGTGGTACATGCCTGTAACCCTAGCACTCAGGAGTTCAGGGAAGTAAGATCAGGAGTTCAAAGGCTACATAGTGAGTTTGAGGCCAGCCTGGGATACATGAATCTTTTTTGCAACAACAAATTTTTTTAAAGGTAGCTTTTATTATTTTTACAAGAATTTAATTTATACTTTAATTGGAAAACATGAGATATGTAGCTATTGATGGAAGCAAAGATGAGCAATCAAGTACCGCAGTGCAGATTCATACTTCTGGATATGTTTTTAGCTTAAACCAATTAAGTTATAGATCTAGGAAAATGAGGTCACTATTGGAAATGTAAAGGAAAGCCTATTTCTTCTTTTCTTTATATTTTGAAGAGATTATTTATTTATTTATTTATTTATTTATTTATTTGTGTGTGTGTGTGTGTGTGTGCGTGCCTGCACGCATGTGTACGCTCTCCCTCACAGAGCCCAGAAGAGGGCTTCAAATCTCCTGGAACTGGAGTTATAGGTGGCTGTGAGCCATTTAACATGAGTATTGGGAACCAAGCTCAGGTTCTCAGCTAGAGCAACAAGCACTCAAATGCTGAGCCATCTCTCCAGCTTCCCATTTTACCCTTTTTTTCCATTTCTATTCTTAATAGAAGTGAATACCAAACCATTTCAAAGCACATTTGAGTTAAATGCACAGTTGGCAAAATAAAATAGGATATGTAGGGGAACCTCTGAAAGAAATAGTGAGAAACCCATCAACAGCAGTTAATACCTGGCAAGATTCTCTCACAGAGTCACAACAAGCAAGAGTGCGTGCGCTCATCTAGTAACAGGTGACACTGCCAGATCTTCCTCTTGGAATATGGAGACAAGTATATAGAAGTGTATCAAGTAAGGAAATCAGTCTAAAATGGCCAAGAAAGAGTAATGTTCTGTGCTTGATAGTTTGAAAAAGAGTCATGATATTGTCTGAACTCTTGGAATAATAGACACTTCATGCATTCAACCCAATGACACCTTGATATAATTTTGTATTCTGTAATTAGGAATGCTAAACTTTCTAATTAGCTTATTACTTTGAGAAATAGGTATAAGGATGCCTGAAGCTTTATTTTTCACAAATGTTTTAGAAAAATCCAACTCTCTAATATTTGAGTGAGCTTGGTGCACAGTTAACAAGACAGGCATATCTGTTAGAAAGCATGTATTAGTGTTGATAATTGCAAAGTGATGATAATAACAAATCTTTAACATTTAATGAATGAGTGCTTACTGTGAGCTAATGTTGTTACAGCCCAGATATTCCTAGAATCTGCCAAATAATCTAGTCCTCTACCAAATCCTGTGCTTGGCATCAAAAGCACGTAGAGAAACATATTACAGGTTAGGAAACAGTACAGCACATCACAACGGCATCAACAGTTTGCCTTCTGGGGAAGGAGACATAAAAGCAGCCAGCAGGAAAGACTGCTACTCAAACTCAACTAAATTGTGAGACTTGGGGATCTGCAGAAATGAGTGTGAAGTCCCCTTTGAGTCCTGTAAACATCAACATCTCTAGCAACGGTTACATGTCCAGGTCTTCCAGAATTCCCTGAAAAGACAGACCAAATCACAAAAGCAGCTGAACCTATGATGTCTGTTTTAATCCTCTCAGTCAGAGAACATTTACCAATTAGTATCATAAACAATGTGCCAACATTTATCAGGTTTCCAAGGCACCATAACTAGGAAGTTAATCATGCTATCCATAAAGAAACTTATACACAGTGAAAAAGGGTTTCCAACCCTTTGCTCATACATAATAGCATTGATTTAATATTTTTACCAAGCCTGTGAAGTAGTTGATTCTATTTTCATAGTGAAAAAGAGAAACTGAAGGCAGGGCGTTAAAGATCCTTGCTTATGATTGTCTGATTTCTTAGTAGTAACCCCAAGATCACACTGATGTTTGTTGTTTCTAGGGTCTGAAACCTTCACCACAGATGCCATGTCTCTGTAACTGTACCAAAGGAGAAAGGAAGAGAGTGAAACTGAGCCACATGCGGGAAGTTTCCAAGGTTACTTTGGAATTTTATAAAAGTAGAGCAATGTCTGCTTATGTAAAGTAGATTGTTTTTGCTAATTTTATTTTCAATAATGGCAAACACATACAGTAGTTTTCTTTAATGAATGGCCATCTCAACCCCCACCTCAACACAAACAGCCTGCCTCAGTATAGGCAAATGTATACTGACAATGTGTTTTCCAAGATTTGTTCAATTTCATATTTATTTTATTCTTTCATACATTTCAGTGAATTTAGTTCAATAAACGAATCTAAAATATGGGTGTGGCAAAGTATCTGAGTATTTCAAACAGCTTCTGGAAATTTGGTAGAATAGCTCCAATTTGAGCTTTGAGGCTGAGGTATCCCACTCATAGCAGAGATGTCTTTATCCTGTGTCTGGTACTTGAATCTTCTCTATTGTATTGTTTTCTGTTTTCGTCGTTTGCTCAGGGGCAAAATTCAAAATATTTCACAAGTAGTAACTAGTTGACCCTGTATGAAAGTTTTCTAACACATTTCTGCCTACTGATTAGGTAATATGCGTTAGTCAACAATCTTCATATCCTCTTTAGGTTCAGAGGGGAGATGAGGAGAGTATTTAGCCATATTAAGTATGCACATGACTAACTTCCAACATTCCACCTCTTCATCTTGGCTTTCAGTGGGTTTCAGATCTATAGACGTCAAAGATATTCGTGATTCCATGAAATTTATTCTTGGGTCATATAATATATAATTTTACAGTTTCTTATGGAAGTAGAATTTGAGGATATGACTCTTTGGAAGACCCATTTCTTTTAGATTTTCTCACAGAGAATCTCAAGCTGTTTCTGAAACTAGAGTTCCTAAGAAGTCTTAATTAGTCATGCTAGGATTATGTCTCAGACATACTTGGTTAGACTCTGTACATATTTTCAGGGAATCCATATTTTAAGCCCTTAATCCTAGGTAGTTCTTGTGTACCTGACCCAAACTTAGTTTGGAATTTCCTGCATAAAATTAATGATTCATAAATGTTATGTGTTATTAGCATGTTCCCAGACAATATTTAAAATGTTGGCTAATTGAGTTGATGTTCCCTGTAAGCCCTTTCCGTGACTGCTGGACCAGACTCTGTTAAGACTCTGGTCTTTTCCTCTCTTATGGGATCTGTCATGCATCAATCTGGTACCTCTCTAGGATGGTGACACCTGCCCAACACGGTCTTCTTGAAGGCATCCTTTACCTCTTTGTTTCTCAAGCAGTAGATGGCTGGGTTGAGGAATGGTACAATGACAGTGTAGAGCACAGAGATGACCTTGTTGTAGTTGAAGGTATACATGGCCCGGGGCCTAGCGTAGGTGAAGAGAGTGGAGGAATAGTAGATTACAACCACTGCCAGGTGGGAGGTGCAGGTGGAGAAGGCTTTGTGGCGTCCTTGGGCAGTAGGGATCTTCAGGATGGCTACAATGATGGCAGCATATGATGAAACCACAGCCACGAGAGGGAGCAGAATCATCACCAGCGCCAGCAGGAAGTCCACTAACTCTGCTTGTTCCTTGTCAGAGCATGTAAGGTTTAACAGTGGGGAAATGTCACAGAAGAAGTGGTTGATGATATTGGGTCCACAGTAGGACAATCGGGAAATGAAAAGCAACTTCATCATGGAGCTGAAGAAACCACTGCCCCAAGAGGCAGCAGCAAGGCGAGTGGCCAGGCTGGGAGGCATGAAGCTTGGGTAGCGGAGTGGTTCACAGATGGCCAGGTAACGGTCATAGGCCATAACTGCCAACAGGACACATTCAGTGCAGGCTAAAGCAATGAAGAAATAGAGCTGGGTCATGCAACCTATGTAAGAGACTCGACCATCTTGGGTCAGAAAGGCTCCCAGGAGTCTCGGAATGGTCACGTTGATGTACCATAGTTCCAGGAAGGAGAGATGACCAAGGAAGAAGTACATCGGGCGATGAAGGCTTGGGGTGAGCCAGACTGTGGTAATAATAAACACATTCTCCAGCAATGTCAGGAGATAAATTGCAAAAAAGAAGACAAAGAGGAGATGCTGGAAGGGTGGAGAGGTAAGGAAACCCACCAAGATAAACTGCTCCACACGACTTGCACTCACGTTTCTCATGGTCCCTGTCCACTTGGGTGCCTGAAAAAGTAACAGAATAAAAAAGGTTGAAAGACAGGAAAGACGAGTTCACCAGGCCAGTAACATTCCCTCACAGATTGCAAACCCTGTACCTCCTCAATGACACATTATACTACCAATTACTATTATAGTATTTTTTACATTGTTTGCTGTTCAGTTTCAAGGGAATACTTCTCAGACTTGAAAATTATGTTCAGTAACTAACAATCTCAGCTACATTAGTTATTTGATGGATGCTAGCTGAGAGATTTCAGAATGAGCTTCGGTATCTTGATTATTGGACCTAAGCAGTTTTAAAAAATCTCTATGTTCCTTTCTTGCTTTCCTTGGGAAAAACTACAAACTCCTAAGCCCCACAGTATCTTTACTCCATGTTTAATGAATGAATAAAATATTAAATCTCCATTGTTTGAAGGCACCAAATTTGTGATAATTTGTTATGGCAGCCACAGGCAAACTTGTTCCGAACCATTCTGCAGCACCTTCCCAGTCGCCTGTCAATATTGTCAGTGACCTGACTTCCCCAGTGGGTACTGGCAACATTGCTCCTCTGACTTGAGGTGATATCACATGTTATTTCCAGTAACATCCAGTATATCCACTGGTATTCCAGACATTCAGTTTGGGTGGGATTTAAGCACATCACATTTTTAAAAAACTTAAAAAAGTGATATGTCAGCTTGATAGCTATTTTAATCAGACATTTAAATAAAAAAGGGATTTAATTCCACTGTACTGGAAGTATTGATCTAAATAAAACCGCTATATTGCCTCATCATATATTTAAAGGGATCTAAATATTGCTGCTGTGGATAGCCATTAATACTTGCTTAAATTATATAATGAGTGTGTCTTATAAAAATGGGAATATTAACATCATTTATATCACTGAATTCATAATCTAGGGTATTATATTTTTATAATTGCAAATCTTTTATGGATTCCTCTGTATTTATCTACATGTTTTTTCTATACTGTTTAAATTATAAGAATTTTTTAAAATAATTTCTGCTAGATACTATATAATTAGCATAAATTCTGCCCAAACACTATAAGTATCTGACAAATTTTGAAAAACTGTATTAGACCCAATATTAAAAATTTATTGAAAAATCATCTTCTAGTATTGCAAACTGCAGTTTTTCCTGTTCTTCTTATATGCAACCATGACTACATGCTATCGCAAATGAGAAATTTCAGCCTCAAATCTTACCTCTCATTTTAGAGCTATAAACACAGAAAAAACTAGCTCCCTCAGGTGACATCAACAGCTCTGGGAAAGAAGGTTATTTAGCTATTGTAATAACAGAAAATTATTTCAGCTGGTTATTAGTTATATGCAGAAACTACACAATGATCTATTATCCAATTTTTTTTTCATTGATCAGCTGACAATTCGATTAGCTCGTAGAAGAATTTGTCACCTTGTTATCTGTCCTTTATTGTCTCAATACTGACATGGACCCTGACACTAACTTACACTCTGTGGTACTTACACCCTGAAATACTCAATTATGCCTTTCCTTATAAAGAGGAGGAAATAGTTTTTGAGGAGAAAAGAGGGAAAGGAAAACAGCACTTTCTTAAGCAGATCAATATTAAGACACTCTCCTGAGAGAGCTGGGGATCAGGGAGTAATTCCTTTGATGCTATTCCCATCTTGATCTTGATAAAAAAATGTGCACCTCATGTGTCCATTAGCCTTAGTTTGGAAAACAAAGACTTAATGGATTAGGTATTTTTCTAAGAGTTTGAGAGGTTATAGGAATGATAAAGGTAGTGTCTGCAGCTGGTACGAGAGAGAATACATAAAGCTAAAAAAGATTGTCTCTAGACTTTTCAAGATGGGTGATCGCAGATGCTGAAGCAATGAGAGAAGTATTGCAAAGGAACTTAACTTCATCATCCTGTTCTCAATGAACAGAGCATTGTCTGAAACACACCAAGCCCTTGAGAAATGTCAGTAGAGTAGATTTCATTTCTGCTTAAAAAATAAATTCCATAGTTTCATTCAGATACATGTCTTATAAACTCAGATAACTGAGTCAAATACAAAATTCTTTCACAGGTAGAGCACTGTATGAAATTTGGTTTAAGTATCACTTGTTCAGGGACAGTAGCTGAAAAATGGGGTGTGGACTGAGAAGCAGCACAGGAAACTCTCTCTCCTTTAAAACTTGGTTGGTCATATTTTTCTCTGAAGCCCACCATGGCTCATCTTACCTGATGACTTAAAGACAAACCTGCATGTAGGCCTCTTTGTGCCTAGATGTTCCCCTAATCCCTTTCCACTCCTCAGTAACACTTAACCATCATCCTCTTCAGAGGTTGACAACAGAATCCTGTATCCTGGTCAGACTGGCTTGCTGTTGCCAAAGACATTCCTCTCCAGCCAAGGCAACTTTGAGCCCTGATTTCAACCACACATTGTGTGGTCCCCTTTCTACACCCTGCTTTGTGAAGAGGCTCTCCTACACAGACTTCTGGGTCACAGCATGCAGAGTCTTCCTGTTGTCTGAGTCTATCAGTGTACCACTGGTACTGACCTCATGTTTAGTTGTTCTTTTTCCTTTTTTTGCTCTCACTTCTGGCAATCACATTCCTCCTCCCATTTGCACTTTAAGCCTTTCAAGAGATCAGGGCTGCACCCTGCTATCAGGACATCACAGGGCAAATGAGCCTGAAATTTCAAGCAGCAGGATATGATTCTCTTGAAGCACATCCTTCTCATTTGGTAACCTAAGTTTTAAGTAGTAATTAATGAGGGGAGATGCTGTTGATTATTCCTCTCTCTGCTTTTCCTCTCCATGCCAAGATGGTCTCTTTATCCACAGGTATTTTCAGGACTAAAGGACACACATACTATTGCACAATTCATGCTTTCCATGGTGTTCTCTGTGCCATGCCCATCTTAGTTATTAAACTTTCCAATCAAGTCAGAGTTCTTTCACTGGCTCCTCAGTTTTCCATCTCTGGCCTTCCGCACATGAATAAACCTGGTAAATTTCAGTGCTTCTATAAAGAGTGCCTACTGGATCTCTCATGTCTGTAGCTCTGTATATGCCTACCAACATATGTATGAAATAATTATATATTTGACTTTATATCTTTGAGGGCAGAAACATTCACTTGTTTCTCTATTCTGTTTAAATCTAGTGCTTTGAACATGTTACATAATCAATATATTCTTAACTAGTAAGTTAAATTAAATAATCATTAGGAGCTTAGGAGTTTAACTTCCTCTCTCTCAAGGGTAGAAGGCTGAGTCTGTATTTTTATGTCTGATAGTGATGGTGCTGTTGGTGGTGGTGTCAACTATTTTCATATCATTGGACTCTGTGACAATCAAAGAGACAAATTTGTTGATGATAATTTGCCCACAGAGCAAAACAATTTATTACTTTACAATACATTGGTGATTCCATGGATGTGTAGGCCTGAAACCATATAACCATCACTTAATCATCTAAATTGGCTATTTATATAAGTAAAACTGCCTGAATACCTATCTAGGCAGAACCCCCTGCGTGCTGGATAAAGGAAGTCTTAACAGCTCATTGCTGGGCCTCTGATGGTGTGGCAAAGGGGACAGTACGGCCTTCATCCAAAGACAGAGGGCAGAGCCCTCCTCATAGCCACGATTTGTAGAGAAATCTAAAGTTACTTTGTTTTCAATTTGTTTTCTTCAATTCTTCCTTTGATAAGCACAAAATAAAATATCAATTTGCGGCTGTAGCTAGCTTTAGTGACTCTACAAATGAAGATTGCTGAAGCCACTGTAATTAATATCTTAGTCTGTATCCAGAGGTATATAAGCAAGACATGCTGATAAAGCACGTTACCGAGTGGTCAACTCTGAAAATTTGTTAGGTGCTGACTTAATCTTGAGCTTAAGTTCCCTTAATCAACAAGTTTCAGTTCCCTTAGGTATAACTGACATACAATGTGAAGTTTTTGTTAAAAGACACACATTTGGGAAATTGTAGATTATTTGTAAACACAAATAATCTGCTACGGATGTATGGGAGCAAACTTCACCTCTATCTTCCACATCTTCTAAGGAAGTGAGATGTCTATAGACTCACTGATGCAAAAGTAAAAGTTGCTTGCTTGGCCTCTGATGACTGACAATTCTATTAATACGTGCTTAAAAATATCATTCAATTTTGTCTGCTTTGATATGGACTGGTAGGTATGGCTTTAGGCCTTGCCTTAAGCAGGGAATGCTTTCCCTTATTCAAACCTGCCTCTCATCACTGTCCTCACCTTCCTGAACTCTCTTTGCAGGTTTCTGCCCTATCTGACATTCTTACTGACCTTGAAATTTTACCACATTCTCACTTAAAAATAACCTGTATAAATTCATGATGAGGTGTTATCTGATCACAGAATGGCTGGGATCGAAACAGCAAAATAACAGCAAATGCTGGCAAGGATGTGGAGAAAAGGAAGATTGTCCCTGCTGTGGCGGTGGAAATTAGTGGACCTACTGTAGAAAGCAGCACTGAGGTCCTCAAAGCACTAAAATTATCTCTACCATGCATCCAGTTATCTTATTTCTGAGGCAATATTAAAAATGAAATGAAATCAGCATTTCAAAGTGATACCTGCATGATCATGTTTCTTGTAGAACTATTCACAAAAACTCGATGTGGAATCCGTTGAGCTGTCCAACAAGAGGTAACTGGAGGTCCTGGGTAGATGGCTCAATGGGTAAAGTATTGCAGTGCAAGTGTGAACACCTGCGCTCAAATCTCCAGAATCCACGTAAAGCTAGCATAGCTCCATCCAGCTGTGATTCCAGTGCTCCTTCAGAGAGATGGGAGATGTAGATAGGAGGAGCCCTAGAAGCTTGTGGCCCAGGTAGCCTAATGTATGTGGTGATGAGCAAGAAAAAGAGAAAGCCTGTCTCCAACAAGGTAGAGGCCAAGACAATTACAGAGAGAGATTGTTATCTGGTTGTCACGTGTGCAATGGTA